TGAGGCCTTAAGCTCACAGAGTTATGTAGCTCAGAGCATCTGGTAACTCTGCATTGAAAAAGACAAAGAGAAACATTTGAAAACTTGAACAGAAATTCTGCTGAGAGGCTGAGCTGAAGCGAAAAACACCAAATCTCCAGCTCACAAACATCCGTAAACGTCCGGGGCTGTTTTAAACATTCAGTGATGTTAAAATCAAGGTTACAATAAAAGTTCTTTAACAACAGAAAATAAGTCTGGCAGGAGCGTTGTGGCCCTCCAGTCAACACTGGCTTAACAGATGTATCAGAACAAAGTAAAGAAACAACTGAAAGGCACTGAAACTACTCAGAGGTCAATGCAAACTCATTTATCTTTAAACATATTCAGTCCTGTGTGTAAAGTCAAACAGTGGCTGAGGCTGTGTGGGATTAGCTCTGCAGCGGGAGGTCAGGAAATGTGGTTTCCATAGCTGTAATTCAGTCATTTCTCCTGTTACAGCAGAGTTATTTGTGATTATTACAGGATGGACGTCCTTGTAGGGAAAAACTGAAAAGGACAAATGAGCAACCGGTTTCCTGCCAGCTCTCCTCTGTGGGTACAGCTCCACAGGGCCACTCCATACTGATTACCAACACAGAAAAAAGAAAAGGACAAAAGACCCCGAGGTCTAAGACACCAAGGGTAACATTAAAAAAAGGACGTTTTGAGCTGTGAGAATTTTAGAAATAATTTTATTTCATTTGAATGAAGAAAGCTTTTGCACTGGAGGGGACATTTATAAAGACAGTTATTTGACAAACTGATGCTTGTAAGAGACTCATTCAATCATACTGCTCTTTTTCTAGTACTTAGAAAGAAGGAGTTGAGATTGGAAAAAAGTTCAGTATTGGAAACTTTGAAATCATCTAAAAAAAAAAAAAAAAAGAAAAGAAAAAAAAAGGAACCTACTTATGAGACTGACAATAATGTTGGGTTTGCATTGAACCAGGTGGAAGAGATGTTGGTCAAGTGTTGTTGTGGTCTGTTCAAGTAATAACAGGCACTAACAGGAAACAAAAGTTCTTTGTTGGGTTTGAACCCCAAACATCAGCACACTGTGCGTGAGGCGCTCAGCAATCACCAACACTGCTCTAATTGGACTTGGTGGCAATTGAGAGAGGGCGAACGTTTCCAGCTGTTCGAAGAGTTTGCTGAGCTGCAAGTGTTTGTCGTACTGTGAGTTGCTTCGTCCAACCAACAGCCCAAAACCAAAGGAGATTCAGTTTATTCTAAAGCTTGATCCAGCAGAAAACGACTTTTACCATTAACTGACTATCAAAGCTGTTGTTGGTTTAATTTTCTCTCCATTGTTTGATTTATAAAGTGACTATTTTGATTTGTTTTGCTTCTGCTTCCATCTGATCTATTTGCTGTAATTAATGAGTGCTGTGGTGGGTGGATTGCGAGCTACTTATTTGTTATTACTGTTAGTTGTAGTGGCCTCTTAATCAAATGTGCAAGTCTCCAAACAGTGTTTTGCTCAGTGTGTTGGTTTATGGTGATCCACTTTCCCTTTGTGCTACAGTTGTTGGAGATAGAACAAAATAAAATAAAGACTGCTTTTAATCTAACTGTGCATTCCCGTTGTGTAATGGTGTTTGGAACCTGCTTCCTGTGGCTATCCAGCTGTGACTGCTGCACTATTTAGGACTTAGGATTTAGGATTTACATTTACATTCACTCGTTTGATGCTTCTATCCAAAGCGACTTACAAGTGAGGGACAACACAAAAGCTTCAGTGCTGCAGGAGACCTGGTTTGAGTACTAAGCACTACATCTATTCAATAAATGCAAGGAGATCAAGTTAAAGAAGTAAGTGATAGTTAGGCATGTAAGGGTGTTAGAGTTGTTAGGAGTGGAGGTGCTCTTGGAAGAGATGAGTCTTCAAGAGATTCTTGAAGACAGAGAGGGACATTTGCAATGGTTTCACTGTCCGTTAAGGGAGTTCCACCAGAAGGGCGTTGCAGTAGTCGAGAGGAGCTATAACCATGGGCCTGGGCCAAGAGTTGGGTGGGGCACTGAGTCAGGTAAGGCAAGATTTTTCTTATGTTGTATAGAGCAGAGCACAACCGGGAAACAGATGCAACACGGTCAGAGAAGGACAGCTGGTCATCAAATATTGGTGGTTGGGGTAAGAGATGAAGAGGCAATTCTGATATTAATATGGTGATGGAGAGACTGATCGGTGGGGAGGACTATGAGTTCAATTTTAGAGAGGTTTAGTTGAAGGTGGCGTTGCTTCATCCATGTGGAAATGTCAGAGCGACCAGTCGAGATCCCAGAGACCGTGGCGGGAACGACAGGTATAGTTGGGTGTCATCTGCATAGCGGCGATATGATGACGTGGCTTTACGTGTTTTAGCGCATTAAAGACTCAGATCAACAGAATCCCCAAAAAACGTTTTCTCAGTTGCCACTAACGGTATCTGGATATGCAGACAGTTTCACTTTAAACAACAGGGAGCCTTTTCCACATGTGTATCACAGTGCAATTATAACAAACTAATGACAGGAAAGCTGAATAAACACAGACTGGGATGAATTTTCTCTCTGCAGCAAGTTTCAAGTTTCTACAAGCAGATTTTTAACAGAAATGAAGTGACACCAATGATTGCCTGGAGGGAAGGAAATCAATCTAAAAACCGTTGAGATGATGGGAACATGATGCCTAACTTGCAGAAAATGGCCTAAAATATATGAAAACAGGTGGATATGAACATCTGCCTGTGGGGTTCACACTTAAGCAGGTGAAGGAAGAGGGAAAAAAAATGTGAGCTTGAGTTGTAGTTTAAAAAAAGACAGAAAGTTTGACATTCATCTCTCCAAGCCTCAGTGGAAGTTAAATACACCTGTTCAACGTGACTGGACGGTGAGAAGCACCTTTACACTGGGGTTAGTGTGAGTTGTCCTAAAACAATGTATTCAGGGTTTTATATGCTCAACAGAACTGTGTGTGTGTGTGTGTGTGTGTGTGTGTGTGTGTGTGTGTGATTAGTCGTGTAATTCAATGTGACTTTGTGACTGACGCAGTGTAATTTATGTCTCAGAGACGTGAATAAAGATGGATGTGCTTCTTCGCTACAGTCAGTCTGTCTCTCTCTCAAACACACACATGCACGCACGCACGCACGCACACACGCATACACACACACACACACACACTGGGAGGAATCATTTGAAAACGACTTGGGTGGATTTGTCTGGTTTTACATCCAATCTAACAGAAGCTGAGTCAATCTGAATCACAGTGGACGCACACAGTGACTCCTGACCAACACACATATTGTACACACACACACACACACACATTCACACACACACACACACACACAGTTGGTGGTTTATCGAACATGTATCTCGTCTTATTTCGGTCATGCTGTCCATCACTTCTACCAAAAACAATAACACCGAGTATCTGACTCACTGCTTGTGTTTCTTGACCTGTCAGATTTCTTCTTAGCTTGTTGTGTTCAGTACGATTTAATTGGACTCTGGTTCATATCCCCTTTTGGTACGGTTCATCTAGACAGATCTGAACACAGCAGCTGTGCTCGGATGTAAAAAAAAACAAACACACACTTTTGCTAGAATTTGCAAGAATTTCCTTTTGTGTGAAAACAAAACTGAACCAAGGCAACGACTTAATAACTCAACCACTAAGATCAACCAGAGCAAACAACAGATTTGAAAATGCTCTTACAGATGTAGAGTTAATATTACTAATAAAATTGATGGACAAGACGACAAAACGCAGAGTCAGGTGAGGAGTAAGTTGAAGTATCCTTTAAGATTCATCTTGTAAACCACAGCACACGTCTGTTTGTTCTTGTGTCTGGTCACAGCTGGTGTTAAATGACGACAAAATAAAATGTAAAACTCCTAAACTAAAAAGAAGGAACAGGTCTAACAAGTGTCAGAGCTCCACAGCTGGAAGTTAATGAGTCCCTGTCTGCAGCACTGATAGGAACATCTGAGGAGCAAAGAGGATCAAAGCTGCATTCTCACTTCCCAAAGAACGAAGAGGAGGAGGAGGAGGAGGAGGAGGAGGAGGAGGAGGGAGCGAGATGGAGATGGTTTTTAAAAATGCACAGTGATTATTGTGCGGAGTGTGATGTGAGGTGAGCCCGAGGCCCTCCGAGCGGCAGAGAACAAACCGGTTTGTTTTGTAGAACAGAGAGTGAAATAAATGTTTAACGTAAACACGGAGGCGGGAAAGCGACGCCGCGCCGAGACACTGTTCTGTCCTGTCACAACACAGGATTCTCCATGACCACAAAGTCTGACCTTAGGATTTGTAGATTTAAATAAAGTGTACTTGTTTTCTAGGTGCTACAATCTGATGTAGTGTTACTTATAAAATACATTGCCAACACAACTTAAATACAAACATATATTATATTATATTATCCTCTGCTTGTCTTTTAATAAAATACTTTTGTTGGATCATAATGTTTGTGTTTTATTTCTGTTCAAATGCAGCTTTATTATCTGGATATTTAAAACATGTCTGGTGTTTGTTCTATGTGGCCGAACTTCTGGAATATCAACGGCCAAATTTTAATTGAGTTTCTGTTTGTATTATGATTTTATTGGTTTTATTTCATTGCCTTTTATCTCTATATCATGACTGCACCACTGTTTTTTTATATGTTTGTGAAACACTTGGAAAAGTGCTATAGAAATAAAGTTTGTTATTATTATCATTGTTATTATATTGCCCATCAAAACTCTGGGTGCACACACTGTGAACCATGCTGCTAAAGAAGCAGCTCTGGTCTGTGTGTTGATAAAAAGTGTATCATGAGTCTAAGCTTTTTTAAAGTTAATTAAATATATAAATCGGCATAATTAAAAGTCATCTTGCATTAGCTGTTATCATATTACTTTCAAGTTATGACTGAGAATTACAGACGTGATTTTAAGCTGTAGTTCGGTGATAAATCATTTTCTGGATTTCATTGTCGTCAGCGAGCTCTGACCTTCAGCTCCCTGGCGACCTCCACGTGGTTGTCGTAGACGAGGACGTTGGCGATGAGCTTCTCTTTCTCCTTGGAGAAGGATGTCGGTCCCTCCGTGGCGTCTGGCTCGACGATCACGTTCAACAGAGTGCGAGGACACCTGGTCCCGTCCCACACCTGAGAAACACAAAAACGCACGTCCATGATGAGATTTTTCAAACACTGAATTTCTCTGGTCTTGTGTTCCATATGTTCCTAAACCCAAAAACACACGCTGACGAGTGCCAACCAGACGAGTTGCAGGAAACATGGTCACAGTCTCTCCCTCCTTAGTTACAGCATTGAACAACCAGAAGTGTGTTTGCAGAACATTAAGATGTCACAGTGAAGTTCATTGTCATTTCTTCCTCATTTTTATCCTCATTTGAATTAAACTATGTCATAACTAGCGTATGAATTTGTGACTTATGGCTGAAAACCTTCGACCATAGATATAAGCGCAGCTTTAGAAATCAGCGAGAGCAGACTGGCAGCAGACCAGCAGTCTCTGCCAAACCCTGTTCAAATTTATCTCCTCTATCGGCCTCGCTGGCAGGAAACCGGCCCGTCACTTACAGCCTCATTTTCTGTTCGCAAAACCGAGGTGGCAGGTAAAACAGCTTGAGATCAAGAGACAGAGACATGAGACCTCCTCCCACTGAGGCCACCAGACTGCAAAGGAGATTTACCGCGAGACAGATGAAGTCTGAAGGCAGACAGCTCCATGATCCAGAGGGAAAAAACACAATATAACTATTTTACTTTTAAGGCTGAGCAATTAATAAACTTGTCAAATCCCAATCGCAGGAGCTGCAATCTTTTCTTAAAGCTCCATATTTTCTTCTTCTGTGTTGAAGTGTTGATCCATTAGAAGATATATTTGTGGTTTTAAGAACCAAAAACCATCTCAGTGTAGTTTTACATCTCCTCTCTCAGGCTTCTCTCTGCAGCTCTAGTGACAACAGGTCTGTGAGCCAATCAGAAGAGAGGAGGCTCTGAGCCTCTCCTCTGACTTCGCTCCAGGTGTCTTACCCTCAGCAGGGTGCAGGTGGTGTCGATGGGGGCTTTGGCCAGCAGCTGGCAGGTCAGGTCGAAGTAAGCTTTGGGCTGAACGGCGGACAGAGGGATTGTGGGAACCGGGGGGAGGATAGTCTGGCTTGCTGACCACGATCGCAGCTCCTCCACAGTCCGGCGGACCTCCTGGTCAAAGTGGAAGGAGCGGCTGGAGGTCCGCGGCTCCATGGCTCCGCCCACTGCCCCGTCAAACGTCACCACAGAGAAACCGAAGGTGTTGACCAGCGTGATGGAGTCGTTGAAGAACTGAGTCTGAGGAGAGAGAGAGAGAGAGAGAGAGAGAGAGAGAGAGGGGCGTGGGATCATTCATCACTCACCGCTTCAGCTTTAGTTCCTACGTTCACAAAATAAACCACAAAATAAACAGGTCAAAGCTGAATTTGGAAACAGTGGACGTGGTTATTAAAAGAACCAGTCAGTAATCCGGGGCGCACCTTGACTCTGTGCATGCGGACGATGTCTCCGATTTGAAAGATTTTGGGATGGTCCTCCAGCTTCTCACAGAAGATGGTGCAGCCGATCTTCTGGTTGGACTGGTCGGTGATCTTCAGGCTGGAGCAGAAATCTGCGGAGAGAAAAACGTCTCAGCTGCTCATTTTATTCATAGTGATGGAGTAAAACCAAACTTTGGGCCAGGATGAAGAGCAGGTCTGGGGTTATCAATCAGTCATGTGTATTGATTATTGTTTGTAAAAGGTGCAAAAGGTCAGAACATATTGACACTTTAAAGACCTTTTAATCGCACTCAGATGATATTAACGTTAATCAAGTCAAGCATATTTAACAAAGTGCTGTATAATATTCAAGGCAATAAATATAGTGTGTTAATTCAACTCAGTCATTACACGGAGCAGAGCAACGTACAATGAAATTAGCAGCAAAAAGTGCAATTTATAAAGACAGGAACAAAAGTAAGACAAGACATTTAATAGTAACTGAACGTATAATTACGTATAATTTAAATCTGTATCAGTAATCGAGCCCCGATCAGCCCCTAGTCCTCACAAAACACAGAAACAAGCGAGTGTGTTCATGTGAAAATTCTTGTTCTCAACATTAACAAACAAACAAACATTGTTTTACCAGTAAATTATTTGTAATTAGTCACAATCATTTTTTCTAAAATGTTTTTTCTCTCAACGTTATGAGTTTTTATTTTACGACTTGTTTTCAAATCCATTAAATGTGCATGTGAGCCTGTGCATGTTCAGGTGTATCTGACAGGATTTCATCTGTGTGAATGTGTGTGTGTGTGTGTGTGTATGTGTGTGTGTATGTGTGTTTCTCTCATGTCTGATCAGATGGATTTTTCTAATATCTCTGTTTACTTTAAAAGACGCCTGAAGGATCCATAAAGATGATGATGATGAAGTTTGGGCGGTTTCCAGCAGAGACACTTTACTGTTGCTGCTAAACACACACACACACACACACACACACACACACACACACACACACACACACACACACACACACACACACACACGTGTATATATATTTACACACACTCACACTAACACTGCATCATCCCGTCCTGAGTGGCTGTAGGTCGACTGGTGTTTATCGTCTCATCATAACTTCCATCGCTCTTCTTCTGTCATTTTGATATAGTTGTGTGAGCGCTAACAGCTAACAGCTAACAGCTAACCACCTCCTGCTCCTCAGGTGTCACTGCTTCCTCTGCACTCGATGCTGATGTCGTGTGTTAACAGGACAATGAAGTGAATGACTCAACAATGTTCACACCATCAACACATAAACTGAAACTATGTTTCACCATCCTGCTGCTCTCCACAACTTCTGAGTGTTACCACGGTAACCAGAGACGACGAGCCGCTTCACGTCTCTGTCCGTGGTGCTGAAACTGTTGAAACTTTCATTTTAACTCTGTTTGGTTTGAAAACAGTGAAAGAGCTGTTTTACCTTTACATGTCACATACGAAACTATTTTCTATTCTAATATGAAAACAAAAGTCACAACATTGAGAGAAAAACTCCAAATATAAACGTAATAATATATTCTATTAATAAAATATTCATGACATTACAGCTTTATTCTAATCTTCTAATTAGGACTTTTTGGTAAATTTTCCTTAGTTTCATAAAAGATTTCAATTTTGTAGAATTTAATTTCTGTTTTGTAATATTATGACTTAATCTCATTACACATATTTTTGGAAAATTATTAAAATTATTTTCGTAGTGTTGTGATTTTTTTGTCTTTTTCTTTATAAGATGGTAAGTTTATACAAACAGCACGTGTTTTTTAACAAAACTGACTCAGACTCAACATTGTGAGGATATTGTAATCTTTCGTTAATTAAAAACTTTATTGTCAAATAACTTTATTCTTTTTAAGTATGACCTTTTAAACAACAAGTTTACTTTCATCATAATGACATAATAATAACTTCAAAGCGACAAAATGGAACTTTTCTGCATTTAAATGTCTAAAAAAGACTTGACCTATTTTATACATTTTGTCAAGTTGTGTTCTAACATTCTCCCAAATGTTTTGAAACATGGAGAAATCTGTGATTTTAATCAAGGTAGTGGTCAATGCTGCCATACCCCCTTTACGCATGTGTTAGCATTGTTGTTGTAACCGTCAAAATTTTACTTTTTATCCAGTTTTAAGTGACACTGAGACTCAGACTGACCTGTTCCCCGGCTCTTGAACGGCTGCTTGAAGAAGACCACCACTCCGTACACGTTGACCACAGATCCAGCCTTCAGGTCGCCCAGTCGCACGTACGTATATTTTGGAACCTTGGCCTTGGTGGAAACCTGAGTAGAAAACAAGAAGCACGAACATCAACAATGATATCACGCCAATATTAACATGTTAGCATGTATTACAACACATTTATTGTAACGGACGACAGACAGATGCTGCACCGGCTGTATGACGCTGTAACACTGGCATACTGCTGCAATTTAACAACATCCCATAATACTGAGGAGGGGAGGCAACTACTGGAGAGTAGACAGATTTATAGTAACTTGTGTGTAAAACAGTTTCTGCTACATTCATTCAGGTGCGGCTCCAGCACACTCTTACTGCCGGAGCCCAGGTCTGTTCATTTCCTGTGGTAAACTCAGGATAAAGCTAACACATCACTTCCTGCAGGAGTTTCATAATAAAAGTGTTTCAAGAGCATTTTAATAACGCCAACTCGTCATTGAGTAAAGTTTCAATTAAAAATAGATTTTAGCCATTTTTCAGCACTTTGTTGATAATACAGTTAAAGACTTTATTATCTTTATTCATTATCTCTGACAGAGTGTGAAGAAGAAAATCACGTCTGACATGAATCAACTTTTTACTGCAGAAGAAAAACTGCCTGCAATGTGTAGCTATGCAGTTTTGTTTTCCCTTGTGATCAAAGAGAAGAAGATGGAGCCACAGAGTCGAGGTGGTTCAGAAGCGTCGTACGGTCTGGAAACACTTAAAGCTTCAAATATAGAATAACAAAGACACGCGCTCGTCTTTGTGTCGTCCTTCATGAACATACATGTACCTGTGCTGTGGACATACGGAGGGCTCACCCTGCTCAAATCAAAGAACGTAACTACACACAGTTTCATTTACAGAGAGGTCAGGAGTCTCTGCTCAGTGGAGGACTGGTGTCCGACCGCTGGCAACTGAAGCAGGAGGATATAAAGATTTACGAAGGTATTTTCTGAAGAGAAGCGTTAATGTGTTTTTTGTGATCTCAGTGTTGTTGAGGATGAATTTCAGTTTTGGTTCAAAAATGGTTATCTGAAAGTCCCACATGTATGTTGAGTTGACTCTTTAATGAAGGGATTCATGGGGAGAATGGCAGCTAAGACAGAGGACACTTTCTCTATTATTACAGTCAGGGAGATTTAATTTTTTTTTCTTTTTAAGTGATTTTTTTTAACATTTTATGCCTTTATTTGACGGCTCGGGTAGAGAGACAGGGAACTGAGGGACAGAGAGGAGGGGAATGACATGCAGCAAAGACTCCCGCCCGGAGCCGCCCTAAACACTCAGCGATTGATGATTTTGAAATGTTCTCATTTTGAATTTGTGGAATTGTATATTGTGATTTGTCATGTGGCCGTCCTGGTTGTTGTTGCCGTCTTGTGTCACCAACATAAGGTGAAGGACACACAAATAATCCATCTGATCTTAAAACCTCTATCATGAAGGCTACAGAGGAAGAAAGAGTGACTGACAGTGGGCTAACAGCTGTCATGCTAACATGCTAACTGCATGAACAGTGAGCTGAACAGACAGCCGCTGTATCATCGCTGCAGACTGGCATGACGGCAAACTGAGGACAGAACTAACGTTTTAAACAATAATCATTTTTCCGAGACGAACAGATTTTTTTTAAATTTTTTTTTTAAATCTTGGCATTTAACTAAACAAATGTCTTTTCTGATAAATGTTTAAAAGCTGAGTAAACTACTGAACAAAGCAGCTGATTCCCGTCTCTTTTTCTGAACTTCTTCCATCTCCTCGCTCAGATGTGAGTTTCAGAGGAGAACACTGAAGATCTGAAGAACCAGCATATGCTCCTAAAAGAGAAGAAGCCTGTCCAACATTTATTTTTACCAGCATTTCTTCTTAAATCGAGCCTTTAAACTTTGATCACAGGCTTCTGAAAATCGCCAATCTCTTATTTATTCTCATACAGTGTGTGTTATTCTGTCTTGTATGTTAATTTATTCTGTTTGAAAATGTTTATCGCAGCTCCACCTCACTGTCGCGCCGCTTTATTGATCTGTCATTAACTTAATATTTTATTTCCTGACTTCCACGTTTGTTCTCTGGTGTTTCTGCGGGCTGACAGTCAGCACGCTTTTAATCATGAGAGTCTGATGTTATTTTTGCAGTTTTGCTTTATATCCACTGAGGAGGTGAACGGTCTGTTTAATTATATTCATCTGCCCCTTTGCAACATTCAGCGTTAAGAGGATGCTATAGCTTTCTAACTTTAGCATATTCCCATTTAATGTTTTGATCAAAGCTATTTCAGCACCTACTGAGGCGTCCTCAGCTCTCACTGTTTGTCCTGCATTACAGGAAGGAGGGGAGCTAGCTAGCATTAGCTCTCTGTCTCACGGGTCTCCCTGCGGTGACAGCAAAATGACTGGACTCAGTGAAAGACTCAGTAATGCGTGCGTTACCCGTGATTTGAATCACGGCCAGGAAGCAGCAGCAGTGGGGAGAGCTCAAATCACAGATGGTACAAAACAACAGCTCAAACATCAGCCTCCAGCTGGTTAACGGCCTGTGTGGCCGCTCAAAGTGAAGTGATAAAACCATCATCCGGAGGAGAAACTCACTGCTATTCCACAGTTGGACCGGCACTTCAGGTGTAGTGTATTGGCCTCTTAAGGAGTTAATAACTGCTGTGTGTATGGATTATAGAGTGATTACAGTACTTTTTCTCAGCAGCTCTGAATGTTTAAATTCTGCACTTCAGCCAGATGAGTTCAGATTCTGTTTTTGTCAAATGATCTAATTAATAATTTTAATAAAAGTCTTGATTCTATGCACAATTTAAACTGTTTTTTCACTAAAACCACGAGAGATAATTACGACACCGTCTTAGGTCAACTGTCAGGAAAAGAAATCAACAGAATCAAGTGATCAGAAAAAGCTGTAATCTGATGATAAAAAAGTTGTTATTTCATTATTATTCCATCTCATTTTACACTAATGTTTTTAACATGTTTTTATGTTCATTTTATGTCTTTTCGACCTTTGTTCAAAACACTTTGTGCAGCAAAGTGCAATACCAATAAAGTTTTTCATTATTATTGTGTGTGTGTGTGTGTGTGTGTGTGTGTGTGTGTGTGTGAGAGACATGTTATGTTGTGGCAAAAGTCGACCACAGAGACCAAGAGGTCTGCTGAGACCCTGCTCCAGCCGAGGTGACTCGGGGACAGCCGGCCGCTGACATAAAGCGTCCTGACAGATACAAGAGCTCCACAGCACGTCCCAGCAGCCTCTTCAGCTAACCAGGCCTCTGACTCTGACCTCAGCGGAGAGCGTGGTGCTCCTCTTGTTGGCCAACGGGGACCTGGGGTCAGGAGGAGGCGGCGGCCGGGACACCTGAGGGATGAAGACAGAGATGAGACTTAACGTCTAATGTGATGTGTTTTCAGTGAACAGCCACCACAGCAGAGAGACGCCGCAGCGCTGCAGGAGAAGCAGAAAACACAATCACAGCGAGGAGGAAGGAGAGTGGAATAATATCCGTCTCAAACAGAAACAATAAAACTGAGTGAACTCCACCTCAGAATACAATAACAAAACTGCCTGAAATCTGTTAATATACAGTCAATCTATATGAAACCCCCCGTCCGTAGACTGTGAGGGAAAGACACAGCATTCAGGCTCCATTCCTTATCTGTGGTGTCCAGGATGGTTGGTCTGAACTCCACAGCTTTGAATTTTAGGATTTAAATTTGCCTATAGAAGAAACCAGAGTTTCACTTGAATTTTTAGATCATTGAGAGAAATCTGAATATAGTTTAAAAACATTCTGTGTACACTGGGACGCTTTTGAGAATGAACAGATACGTTAGTCTCGGCTGTAAATCTGAGAGATCTCTCTGGACTGCTGGTGCAGTGACGGCTGAGCCTGCAGGTGAGACATGAAGAGGATGTGAAATTCATCAGCAGGTAAACAGAGACACATCTCCAGGTTTTGTTGTTGTTGTTCTGTCTGACAATGACGCAGAGCGAGACATGGCCGACGATGAGTCATGTTCAATTTACACCTCACACAGAAGATCTAACAGACTTACAGCCTGCAGACTGAACTTACACACACGCACACACACACACACACACACATATGGATAACAAAGCCATGATGCATTGGTTCAGAGAGAGAGAGGACAAGCACAGTTCACGACCTCATTGAGGGTCACCACAACTAAAAGCATTCATTATTACCTTATTAAGAATTATATTATCAGGGTATTATTACTAATAATCTACTACTAATCACAGTTAGATCCTCAATCAGAGCCTCAGGTCACAAACAGATTCACCGCTCTTTAAAACAACATCACTCACTTTTATTACCGAAGCAGCATTTTAAAGTTGGAGCTGCTCGAGGTGGAGCTCATTTTAACTTCTTATATACTGTTGTGTAGTTTGATGCTTCACAGTGGGTCACTTTATTTTATCAGTTTAAAATCTTAATCTGAGAATCACCTATCAACTATAAATGTAGAGGAGCAAAGAGACTCTGAAATGTCGGGACATATACTTCACTCAGGTAAAGCAGTAATACCTCACAAAGATCTCTCAAGTGTTTAACCTTGTTAACGTCCATATGGTGTTTGTTATATAATACAAACATATGATGCGTGAAATAATCATCAGCACCGTGACTGAGTGTTTCCACCTTGAACTGCAGTGAACCAACGACAGTCTCATAAAAACAGATTCAGGGTTTCATACGTCACAAACCTCAGGAACCGATCCTGTCAACTACAGAGAGAGAGCGTTTGCTTTCGCACAGCTGCTAACACTGTGTCAGCCACCGTCAGTTACAAGCTAACAAACAACACAAACAAATAAAAGATGCTAACTACGCTAACCGTTCTGATACGTCTTCTAGTTGCTGATTTTGGTCACAACAGACTCCTCAAAAAACTCCTGAGGCTCTCTGTTTCCTCCTCGAACCATCTCCATATTCTGCTCTTTCACCGGTCAGCCTAACGCAAACAGCTCAATGAGGAAGAAAGAGTAGATCAAGCTAGATGAACGTAGCTTCCAGCCCCAGTTTTTCATTTATTTATTTATTTATTTTTCACTTTTTGTGTGTGAAAATCATGTTAAACCATATATTAATCATAGCAGAGTATCTTTACATAGTTTAAAACACGTCTGGAGAGGAACTTTAAGTTGTGCTGTACTTCAGGAGGTGTACGTGAGTTTGATTGGCAGCTGTCACACCAGCTCCAGTGACCCACACTAAACGGGCAGAGTTAGTTTTAAATGATCCAAACAGTGTAGGTGTGGCAAGACATACACAATGAAAGAGCCTATTCATGTATACATACTATACACACTGTAGAGTATATTGTACTTAGACGTATAAGAGTCCTCACATAAAGGCAGGCGTTGTCTCCTGACAGCAGCAGCTTACAGGGGTGCAGCTTGTCCTTGTGAACTGAGCCAGATTTGTCCACAGTGAAGCCAGAGGCCACCACCACATCCTGCAGGAAAACACAAGATAAACAACAACAAGAAGAGAAATCGGGGGATTAAAACTGAGAGAGCAAAGAGAGATAAATACACATCCTTCTTCCCAGAGGGAGGACAGATTGAAGCGGCAGATGTTGCATCGGGGGAGACGTTGAGTAAGACGTCACAACAAGCCACCGATGATAAGCTGGTGTGAAAAGTGGAGATTGTCTTTTGTCTGGCGTGTCAGCTGCCCCCAAGACGGCTTTAAAGCCTCCGCTCAGGGCTGACAAAGGGACAGCAGATAGTCTGAATAATCATGTTACAGAGACACACAGCCTGACAAGACCTCTGTGATCTATGGCTGAGCACGGCGGCTCAGGCTGTGATGACTTCCTGCCTTCACCGAGCTTTACGGGGCTTTGAGACCCGTCAAGACGCTGCTGTAGGGAAACCAGAAAACACAGTGACATGATGCTGACAGGAGGATTATCCCTGATGTGTTCACTGTCCCCGCACAGGTCACAGACAAAACCCACCGCTCTGTAAACAACATCGTAGGTGCTGCTGTGCACAGCTGTGACAGTATCGCAGGGGAGAGAAACTAAACCGTCACAGTGCGCCGGGCCAACAACGATTCAGAGTCACTTTGTGTTAAACAAGTTAACAAAGTGTGAGGCGACAGAGCTCAGGATCATCTGTTCTTTAAAACAGTTGCTTATTTCCACATCCAGCAGTTATGGAGCAACAGTATCATTCATGTCCAACTCATGAATGTAAATCCAATGCCCCCTCTCTTTTAGCTCTGTGTTTGGTCTCCACCACCTCCTGAGGGAAATTTCTGGCTCTTTAGCTGCTAAATGCTCCATTAAGTCACCAGCTGCTCTCTGACTGTGTGTGCCTGCTGTGAGCTGCTGAGCAGGTAAAGAACAGTGGCTTTTAGAGCGTTTCCTCTCAAAACAGCTTCCTGCCGCCGCTGTAATGTAATGTGTGATGAGAGTGAAACGGAACAGTAAATTTACAGACTTGTGCGGTGTGGTTTTCAAACTGTTGCTAGGCTACCAATGAATCACCTGTCCTTAACCTAACCAAGATTCTGTTGTGAAGTAAACTCACAGATCCAATAATAGGGAATTAGGTTTAGGACTGAAATTTTCATTTCATTTAATTTACTATTGTGGTTTGATTTCTATGTAGAGCTGGTTGGTTTTTAAGCTTCTATATCTGTGAATAAAAGACTGTAAAACTGAACAGATTCTTCATGTAGTGTCATGTTGCTCCTCTATCTCCTTGACTAAACCGGGGCTTAAAACAACTTTGTGACATCTGTGAGTTCAAGTTCAAGACCTTAAGCTCATTATGCAAGTGTAATGAAATTACTGTACACATCCGCAATCCATGTGATTTTCTAAAAACGACTAAATAAAGTTTTAAGAAAGAATTTGCAGCGCAAAGGATCTTGTACTTAAGTATGGTTATATAAATGGTATAATATATATATATATAAATAAAATAAGCAGAGCATATGGAGAGTATGGAGGTAATTACTGACTGTAAATACACTGAATTGACTGACCATAAATAGTTTAAAAATGTCCTTTAAAAAGTTTGATCTCAAGAAAATGATTATAACTTTAAAGTGAAAGGTTAATTCTGGTTTACTACATCTTGGTGCTTTTTGTTGTAGTTTTGTCCGTTATTGTCCGACTCAACTTCCAGATAAAGTGGTTTAGATAATCTGCATCAAGCGCCGGCGCAGAGGCTTCCCCCTTTAATTTTTCAGAGGATATTCAATTACTTCAACCCATCAGAGGCTCATCACAGCTCAGTGCACATTTCTTCCAACACACCATCTGTAAATTAATTTATCTTGTCCCACAGATTTTTGTCATATTCATCAACAAATCACATGAATCACTCAGCTTATTACCTTATTCAAATCAGTTTTTATGATCCAGAAAATACAATTTCCACAGACACACCTTGATAATAGCCAAGTCTTTTTTTTTCTTTTATAAAAAAAAATAACCTAACGCAATCTCACCAGCATCTCATGAATGTTTATTATAAAAAAGGCTTTCAATCTGTTTTTCTTCCCCCGGCTCGGGTTCAAAGTACCCAACTTCTCCAAACTCCTCTGTTCAAGGACACTCTCTCTATTCACATTTATTATATCATCAAATAAATCTGGTAAATATAATAAATATAATAAATCATTTAGTGTTCCAAGCAGAGTGACGGGTATTAGGGAAAAGCAAAAACCAGTAAAATCTATTTTCTCATTACTCACTAGGTAGAACTTTTATTTCATATAGTTTGATTACATGTGTTTTAAACTGACACGGCGAGTTCTTCTCTCCTCTGAAGAGAAAATATGAAGAATCCTGGAGCAGTTTCTAAAATAATCATCTGTCCTAAGTCTGCAGGACTCAGCAGATGCATCATAAAAGCTAAATCAGAGAGCAAATGATTATTTTTGGAGCGCTGGATGTTGGTATATTTATGGCAGTTAAGCCTCAACCCAGGATTACCTTTCTCATAATGTAATGCATGGAAAATTTTATATAATGTACATGTCCACAGCACTTATTCCATCAGTACAACTAACTGTCCCTTTTTTTTTTTTTTTTTTTAACAGTTTCACCATTTCTTTTTTCGTTCTCATTCACTGATTTACTCCAGTACTTTGCTGTTTTTTTGTTCACTGCAAAGTTACTGTCTTTGTCTTCTTTTCTAGTTTACATTGCAACGCCAGCAGCTGAACAGTGATGGAAAAAACAGCAAAGTAGAACAGTTGTGACGTTAAAGAAGAGGAACTGCATATGTGCTCTGTGACCCATTATTTCCAATGCTTATGCGGCGCCAGGATGGTTTGTCGGCAGTGTGGCGAGCTTGTGCGAGCGCAGGAGTGACGCTGTGACGAACACTGGCGCGGCCAATAGGAAATGAGGCATTCAGCCAGGCAAGGAAAATAAATGGAAAGTGGACCTGAAACTGGTCGCTGTGGAAACGGAGCTCCTTCCCCAGGCTGCTCTCTGTACCTGAGGGCAGACACAGCCTCTTCTTTGTTGTTCCCTTTGTTCTTGTTATTAGTGGAGCTACTGCTAACACTTTCTTAGCAATGGGAAGATATATCTTTGTTGCTGGCAACAATAGACTGTAAACACAGCGAGAGCTTCCCGCTTCATAGTGACTTTTCCTGCTCGAGGTTCAGAAAACTCCACCTACAGGATCCAGCATTTTGGTCCCCACAAAGCTGTCAGATGTGCAGTGTGCTCCCCGTTTCTCAGACTCCACGCACAAACACACAAATCAAACAAACAAAGGAGTGAGTGATTTTTCTTTAAATTTTCATGGGGCACACAAATGAAGCTGGAGTTGTCTGGGAAGGTGAGCAGTGTGTGAACTTTAGCAGGAAACAAACACACAGCCAGGGTTTGTTAACAATCTGGTGACACAGAGGAGATCAAAGGAAACAGAAAATAACTCAAACTGTAAATTGGATTCAGAAGCCCTCAGAAATGCTCGCACATCATCATAATCATCATCAGCCATCCACACTTTATCACAACAGCATATCTGCACATGATAAATATATATCCATGACATGTGATTAATGTGTCTGGTCTGAAAGTCTCCAGCAGATGCAGTTCAGAAAAAGTCACTGCACTTCTTTAGTTTTTCCAGGACAGTAAAGAAACCCAACAACTTATAATTAGTGCTCATACTGTGGTGTGTATCTATATCGTACTGTTATTTGATGTACACTTGCATCAAGATAAACAAAACACCACAATAACTGCTGCATCTTTTCTGTTACATTTCTCTTTTATGACTGACTGAACCTACCCCTTGATTGACAGCTTCATTGAAGTCCTTGGCCAGTGCTCCTAACAGAACCACGCTGATGGACGTGTTCTGGGATGAGGCGATCGCCTGGGAATCTTCTTCTGAAAACCAGATGGAGGAGATTCAGATCAGGATGACGAGACGTTGAGGTGATTGATCTTTGTCATGTATAACAGATACATATTACGTCACAAAGACAGGGAACTCAGGATTGATTGGTGTTACTGGACATATCTATAGCTGAAATAATGTCTATTAATTGATTGGTCACTATTTTAATAGCTGCCATTTTTTAAGCTAACTGCAAAAGAGAATGTCAGTCCTAGCTTCTTAGTTGTGAGTATTCGCTGATTTTTCTTTGTTCTATGTGATAAGCAACTGAATATTTTTGGGGTTTTTGAATGACTGTCAGGAATAACAAGCTACTTAAAACAAAATTCTAAATTCCCCAACCACTGGCATGCCAGGCACGTTCCCATTACTGCTTACAGCATCCCTTACAGACAGTTACTGTTTAACTGTATTCTTCCACCTCTGCTCCCCAGGGCCTTGTTATATGTACTTGTTTCCTTGTAGGCATTTTATCTTTATGCAGCATTGGTATTTCTGATTATGAATCTTCAGGAAGATTCAATCGAATGATATGTGCCAATATCCAGCCCCAATGATGTTAAACAATAAACAGGTGATGCAGATTAACCCTAACGAAAATGTACATTGTTTGTATGATTTTCTTGTGATTTAAAAAATAAAATAAAATCCTGCACAGTTACAATTTTACGGCAATGTACTATCCAGCACAGCCACCACACAGTACAAGTGTGCAGGATTGAAATGTAGGCTGAACTTTCAAACAGTTCTTAAGTGGAACCAGCCCTATCTCCAGAAGAGGAGCTACTTTATCTCACTTGGCAACCTTGCATCCAAGTGGATCAGCACAATGTGTGGTGTTCCACAAGGAGCAATCCTGGGGCCTCTTTTATTTCTTATTTACACACTTCCAGAGAACAAATTCTACAAATTAAAACAAGCTATAATCTGCTATGACACCTAAATTTAGTTTGTTCTGTCATCACGTCACCACAGTCCTATAAAGTGTCTCTACAATCTCTCTGTCCCATCAGAAGGGAAAGCTTGTATCTTAAGATGAGTCTCTGACTATTCACACATTTCTGATACTGGACTTTGCCAGTTCTGCACAATGATGGACAGAAGCTCCTTATAACGACACTGGACCTGTCAGTTTTTCAAAATAACATCGATGTTGTAATGAATCAGAGCTACCACATAATTCGTTTGTAAAACTGATGTGAATCTGTTTAAGATGAAAATGTCTGACCACAGACAAAACACACTATCTGAGGTATTTTCATCAAGATGAACTAAACTAGGAAACACGACAACAACACGACGAAAGAAACAGAAATACGAGAAACAATAGCGAGACGCTCACAAACCTATCACAAAATCCCACAATGCACCAGCAGGTCAAACACTGTACAAAAACTGACAGACTGGTCTATAACCCAACAATTCAGAAGAGGAGAACCTGTTCATCCTGCAGCTGGGGACACAGACAGGGTGTCAGAGAGTTTAAATGAATAAAAGGAAGGATGTCGACACCACAATAAGAGCCTTGGCTCTCTGTGGCTCTTTAATCAGGCCGCTCGGAGATAAGAAGGCCACAGACATGACAACAATGAGACACAATGGCCTCCATCTGCTTCTACAATCCATACCAGCTAAACAGCTTAACACGCACACACAGTCCTTACAGCTCCACACATGCACAGTCAAACACTCCACACCATAAACTCTGCAGCACTACGCAGCTTTTGAGTATGACTCAGTCTAAGTGTTTCCAGCAGCAGCAGCTGTTCTCAGCCAACAAGCTCTGATAAACCCGCCGTACATAATCAAACCGTTCAAACTCTCATTGTTGATCAAGAACAAAACATCTTTGCAGTTACAGTTCTGACCTTTGAGGGAACAAAAGCTTGGAGAGTCCAAAACAGTATCTATCATATTTAATATATCTCACCATGCAGTTTTTTGTAAGACTCTGCTCTAGCGTGGGTATAAAGCAGAGGATAGGTATAAACAGACCGTCATATACCGTTCATCTATTCACCCATTTTCAGCCACTTAATCCAGGGTTGGGTCACAGTAGTCCAGGTCGTCCAGGTCGTCCAATTCGTCCAGACATGCCTCTTTCCAACAATGTTTTCCAGCTCCTCCTTAGGGATCCCAAGTCATTCCCAGGCCACATGAGATATAAAATTTCTCCAGCGTGTTCTGGGCCTAGCTCAGGGGTCTCCTACCAGTTAGAGGAGCCCAGAAGAACCCCAATGGCAGGCGCCCAGGAGTCATCCAAATCAGATGCCCAAACAACCTCAACTGGCTCCTTTCGAGACTGACTCTGAGCTCCCTCCGGATGATCTCGCTCCTCACCCTACAACTCTCTAAGGCTGAGCCCAGCCACCCTACAAAGGAAACTTATCATATCCATAATCTTATTCTTTCGGTCACTGCCCAGAGCTCATGACCGTAGGTGAGGGTCGGAACATAGATCAACTGGTAAATCAAAAGCTATGCCTTCCACCTTGGACAAAAATAGAGAAATATAATGATTTAAATTTCCAATTAGCCACCAAGCCAAGCTGCTAGCAGCTACTGTGGCGGACTAGCACAAATGGGTACCAGTACCTGCTAACCTAATACTAGTTAGTACAAGTACAGTAGCTTGCCAAATGGCTCGCAAGTAGCCACTACGTCATCAAGCTTCCAGCACCACCCAAAGATGCCCAGTGTGATAGTGGGTAAGAAAGGGTTAATGCTTTTAAATTTAAAGCTCAAGGCAACACTAATCTGGTCTTGAATGGTTGTTGTTCATTCCATGTATTTTCTAATCCAACAATACTGTAATTATTCTTCAGTTTGACCGAGATGTTATTGTTATTGTTATTTTGATTTCTTATTGGACTCAACGTAGTATTCATAGTTTCTATGTGTTTATATTCTTTTCTTTCTTCAAGACACCAAACCCCAAATGGCTCTTGATGAGCAGACCAGTGTTTGCATGGCATCGTAATGTGAGAACAACAACACAAACACAACAAAACTTTGAGTCCTTTGCCTTGACTAAAAATTCACTCAGCTCAAATATTTACTGTGAATCATTACCTCATTTGAGTCAAGGTTACATTGTTTTCAGTGTATCACAACAATGACTAAACTGAACATTGTTCATTATGTGTACACAATATTCAAAAATAAATCAATCTACCACAATAAATTAAGTTTTCCTTTTCTCTTTTAAAAAGATTGAATTTTCAAAACCTCCGACCAAAGTAAACTAAAAGTCAATTTCCTACTGTGACTGAATGGTTTCATTTATAAAGATTGAAAGGTTGTCATTTATAACACAAAGAACCCAGCAGGCAGCTACAAGGACAAACAGACATGCGTTACACACAAATGTCTGCATATTACCTTGGATGACAGTCTTTAAGATGAAGTCATCTGATGCTGACGACACCAGTCGTTCTTTACGAACCACTTTCCCCTGGAAAAATAAAGAACATTAAACTTGGAGACAAACTGAGAAACATTTATCTCCGACTGAAGCTCTACAGAGTTTCACTGAGAGCCTGTCAACTGATCAAAGCCACGTCAGGAAGCTGAGCAGCGTTGATGAGTGCCTCAGGGAAAAATGAGCTGCGAGACAGAAGGTGGATTATTCTGCTGCTTTGGTTTTCATAAACATATTCCTGCAGCGTGCTAATCAAGAACAAGAAAACGGCCTCACACGCAGGAGAAAAAAAAAAGAAACTAGGTGGATGTGAGCACATGGTGGCAGGTGACAGTTGAATGCGGGAATAAAGAATGCAGAGGAAACAGGAAAATACATGGAATTTTGAAATCTACAGAAACAATTTGGTATCCAAAACATCTTTTAACTAATTGTTCTTTAAAGAGGTGATCCTAAAGGTCCACATATACACATCATCTAATTAAACACAGGTGTGACTCCCAGGTCCAGCCCATCCATCATGTCAATATGTACACATCAAATTATTTATAATATTTACATCATGAAATTCAGAGACATTTAAACCCCTGATGAAGATGTCATGTCGAAAGATTTTGTCAACAAGAAATATCCGTTCATCATTGTCTAAAAATGAAAAGAGTGTAAACAAACCTTGACTGTTTTGCCGGAGGAGTCTGTGCTGGTGGTGATGTGTGAGATGGGAATCATGGTCAGGTGTGCTGGTACCTGGGCACCGGGCCCCGCCCCGTCCGACAGCACACAGACAGGCATGACATCAAGGCGACCTGGAGACAAGGATCAAAACATAAGATTAAATTGTGAACCAACAACAGGGGCTAGGATGAAATGTCTGAAACAATGACTTCAGGTTTGTAAAATAACAACGCCACCGCTGAAACATCTGAAAATATTCAGTTCACATTCGTGCGGTTTGGACATGAGTGAACGTCAGTGGTTTCAGGCTTTAATCTGTCTCAGAACACAGGACACAGCTGCTGACAGACACTGATCCAAGCTGTGATCTCTGGTTTAAAGTCCAGTTCAACCGTCCTCCGCCACAGACGATTCATTACCAGGATAAAACCTCTGACAGGAAACACCAGATCCATGTCGACAGCTCAGCAGGAGGGTTAAAGTCTTTGAGGCGTTTCAGAGAGAAACGCAGGAAAGTGTTGGCCGTGTTCCCAGCAGGTAGCACGTTGCTTCCTGTCAGTGCTCGTTAGTTTGATTTCAGGCAGATTTGACTGGCGAGTCCCTCGGTGGTACCTCGTTGACCGAGGACGGCGGAGCGGGAACAGCCTGCGAGGCAGACGAGCTGTTCACTCGACCGTACAGTCAGCTGTTCAGTCAGGCAGAAAACCCAGCCAGGAAAAAAATAAAATCAAATAAACCTCTCTGATTTAGACCAGAGGGGAGGAGCCGAAGGCCTGAATTAGAGAAGGATGAGTGATTCATTCATGAGTTCAGAGCCACTCTGTGTGAAGGTACCACACACAATTTCTGGGTGTGACCTACAGCTGCTACGAGTCACTCCGGCAGTCAGTCCGTCCGTCCCCGAAAAACTTCACCAGCCTCACAGAGCCGCAGGTTTTACAGACTCACCTGCAGCTCAGCAGCCAGGACACGAGAGCTGCAGCTCAGCAGGATTTCTACAGTCTAAATACAGAGTACGAGTTTTTCTGGTGTCACAGATTTATGTAGCTCACAAATAAAAACAGACAAGAACAGCCTCTTCTTTTAGTGGCTGTACACAGGGGTTATAAAAACACAAACAGTTGAATACCAAGAGGTGATATTAAACATCAGATCACAGATCAGATTCATGATGTGTTTGTGTTTGTTCAGATAGTTCCTAATACCGACCTTTTTTTTTTTTAAAATGTCCATTTTAGGCTGCAGTTTATTATCTTAGAGAGATAAATGCACTGTGGCAAAAAATATTTATTCCTGCTTCTGAGAACAGTACGTCACATATAGAAAGAAAAACGACCCAGCTTAAAGAAACAAGCTACAAATACAGAATCACTGCAAGTCGCACAAAACTAAATCGAGTTACAACTTACAATTTACAAATAGCAATTTTTATTTGTGATTATTCTCTCTCAATTTAACTACAGGTCTGCAGTTAGAGATAAATTTATACAGCGCATAATTGTTAATTTGTCTTGTTTCTGTATGAATAGAATCAGATTAGAAATGATGATGATGTGATTTTTGTGAATCTTGTACCAAACAATATGATTTGGAGGCCGGGGCGTCTCTGTCGCACCACAACGCTTCCTGTGCTGACGATGCACAACAATGTGACACATTTTACCTTCATCACAAGCAGTGAAATGAGAGTTGAATTGCAAAAATTACAAATAGATAAATATTTTTCTTGATATTATGAAAAATATCACATATGAATCACACGTAGAAATATAGACAGATGTATAGAAATATCGCAAGCTTTGATATTATTGAATATCAACAAAGCTTAGCAGCAAGGAAGAGTCAACCTTTAACTAAATTTGGCTTATTTTCATCATTGAAATGCATCTTTTCAAATGCTGATTCACAGTTTTCTCTGACTCTGCCTCCCTATTGGCAACTGCCTGGTCACGCAGCATCCTGTGATGGAAACCCACCTGACAGAACCTTATCTATACACGCAGCCAGCTGACCCGCAGCCTGTTTGTTTGTCAGCTTCAGTAAACGAATGGGTCCAGAGTGAACTGTGAGTCAGAGCGGCCCCCACAAACTCCCCAGAGCGGCAACGTATCACAGACCACCAGTCGGCTGGAAACAGTCTGCTGATCCCCGTGGTGGGAGAGCAGCTGATCCCTGCCAAATGTCGGCCAGCCCACCCAGAGCAGACGGCCGCTTCCCTGCTCCGCCGAGTGTCACCGTGGCCCAGCGCTCAGCTGCTCCGGGACGCTCATTAACTCGGAGGGCAACTCAAGTTCATCCCGACGACGTCACTGGTGAGGAGCAGAGAGGCTGAGAGGGGCAGAGGAGAGATCTCCGAATAGCAGCTCATGAGCACAGTGCAGCAGTTATCCTGCAGAGCAGACATGACTGCTGGGGGGGGGGGCACTGAAATATGACTGACCTGTTCCCCTCAGAGGACGGCAGGGGGGCTGGTGACGTATCACACATCATCCCTACCAGCATGATAAGTGTGAGTCACATCTATTAACGGCTTCAAATTCATCCATTCATCATTTATTTTAAAACGCTGCATAAAGCTAAAAATTATCAGTCAAGTAAATGACTCATCAGCTGAAAGAAAATGAATCACAAACATTACTGTATTTTTTTTTTTATTTATTCATATTTTAAGCAAAAATAAATTAAATCTGTGGCTTTCTATCTCAACAAGCTAAAAATAAAGACACACACGTCAAACTCTATCACTGTTTTCTTTGTAAAACGTAACTGCCACAAAGTCGTGTTCACTCTGGGGTCTCCAACAAAAATGAGACAAATTTCATTCCCCGATGTCACAACTTATTAGAAAACCTCGTGTAACTGAGTCACTTAACTGTAACTGAGGTAAAAGTTTGAAATAATCGTGATACTGATTTGAAGTCGTGCAAGATAAACATCCTCTCAGATGCTGCATTTAACTGCTGCAGAAACGGGCACACTAAGAAGTGATGGGAAACCATGTGGAGAACATTTATGTTTGTTTCATGTACTAATCACATGTGTGTCATCGGTCTGCATAACGACAGGAAACCAGAGTTACTGTACAGACAGATTTAAACACCACAGTACGCTGTACGTGACCCCCGCCACCGCCCACTGATAAACAAACTCATATCAAATTGCTGATTTACAATCTTCAGTTTTCTAAAGTACACTCATTAATTACAGACAGAGGTGAACCTCCAACACGCACCGCTCAGTGAAGGTTCATTTTCTACGACATAAAACCTGCAGCTGCCACAGGCGTACGCTCCAGCACTTTCACCTATTGAACAAAATAAATAATAAACTCACACAGCTCAGCAGGTGTTTTTTTATCAGGTCAGGAGCAGCTTGCGAGCGCCGAGCGGAGGCAGCGTGTCGAGGGAGAGCAGCTCTGCAGCGCTCAGAGAACGCCATTTATTAAAAACCATTTAAAACCTACACTTCAGCGCCGAGCCACAAACTCTCTGTGGACGGGGGCAGAAAGAAAAGACAGACGGACTGAACAGAGAGACAGACAGACCCTGGACAGAGACACTCATGTTTAATTTGCCTCACGTCCACACCACACTAAACAAAGTTAAAAAGGTTAATTTTTTTCTTTTACAAAGCCACAATTGTTGTTTCACCCTCCAGCTCCTCGCACTGCACAGCCATTACTTCAAACATGTAGCCTGCTTCCACACCTCCGAATCACTCACTGCACTTTAAACCTGCTCTAATCTAAATCTTCATAGTAACAACAGATGAAATTGCTATGCATAATGTGAAACATGTCGCTTGTAGTAACGAGCCCACAGAGAAATGTCACCAGCTCTGCAGTTCCCCGCAGCTTTCAGCCTCTTTCAGCTCCTGCTTCTGAGGCGTATTTACTGAACGCTTCAGTCGCACCGTTCACAACCTGCCCAGCACCAGGCAGCACACACACACAGTCAGAGACCAGCTGGTGAAGAGAGGGAAACATCCAGTGGCTGAAGAGGCGGAAATTTCTCTCACGACTCCATTGGGATGATGATGTTGCATGTACTGGTGGCGATAGAACAAATACACTTTTATTGTTGTTTATTAATTATTAACTGTTTTTATTATAATAATTATTATCAACAATGATCTTATGGACACATGAATTTCCTCTAGGGGATAAATAAAGTATCTATCTATCTATCTATCTGTATCGCCGCTTGTTCCACAAATGACTGTATCACGAACACCCTGTACAAATTGTCATGTAATTGTTTTAAGCCGTTGGCACAAAATTTGTTTTTCTCTCTCTCTCTCTCTCTCTCTTCCTCTCAGAGACAACACACTCCCCCCACCCATCCAGAAAACTCCCCTGGGTGTGTGTGTGTGTGTGTGTGACTAAAGCCCTGGTCAAAAAAAGCTGCTGAGACCCGTCAACATCTGGCTTTAGTCGGCAAATTTCCCCCTTTTTGCTTACAAATTTAAAACTGTTCCAATAGAAACCTCTAATGCATCTATAGTTAAAAAAAACAAGAAGGTTTTAATGCAAACAAGGACTAGAATCTCTAGATCACACCGGTGTGATCTCATGCATCAGAGGGTTAAATCGCACATTTATGAAGTATTTTAGAGATTTCAAAATACCGACATATATATCGTGTATTGTGATATTTATAGACCGTATCACCCAGTGCTAGGTGCATGTGTATGTGTCAGTTAGATATGGAAGTGGGAAGCCATTTCTAACATGTAAACATCCTGACTGTTTGTTGTGCTGCTACAGCAGGTTTAAATTTCACTTTACTTTTACCTCACTGCTCTCGACACAGACGGATAAATCTGCTGGACTTTGTTCTTAGATGATATTACCTTATTGCAGATATATGCAGAAATTAAACTGAAATACATGTAGACCAGAATGAACAGCAACATGAAGCTAGAGAATATTTATTTGATTTTCATGTCGTTTCATCCGATTCATCATCAGAAGAGGCTTAAAATATTCAGTATTTCAGAACTGGAGGAGGTACAGTGATAAACACTGTGCATGGGAGATATGGTTTTATCCACACGCATCCCCACAAATCATCGGCCTTATCTGCTGACCCGCGGGGCTGAAAACACAGATCTAAAAGGTTTATTTCCATGC